ATGCCTGCGACTGCTGACAGTTTACCGCCGACTCGATAATTTAACACTGGCGCCATCTCGCGACATTCTCCCATCTGAACTTCTTTACCACACAGCATACCATCAATAATTTCTCCTAATAATGCAAAATAACCTATTAATGGGTATTAATTGGGACCAATTGTTTGTCTATCAGCATTTAAATAATTTTTTGATTATATTCCAATCATTTTTGGCCCATTTTTCGCCTTAAAATGACATCCATGCATATCCATGCTACATCCATGCTACAACATGGATCCTTATTCGCCAGGGTAGGATATAAAATAAAAGAATCACGTAATTGGGCATATGATGGGTTCCATTCCTTCAAGAATGTTTTAATTAGCAGAAAAAAAGTATTTGAAGTCAAAATAACAAAACAAAGAATAATTAAATTAAGAAATAATTGAATCCAGCCGAAACCCCTAATTTATGGGAGACTGGGCCATATATTTTTGCTTCCGAATGGAAGCATTGTAATCGTGCTGTTTTCACATTCTCTAATTTGGATTGGAAATGATGTAGAATGGTCTGAAATGTAAAAATACGAAGTTTGGCGACTGTCTGTCGGTGTCAATGTCCATCGCCACCTTTCCGGTGGTCAATTTTTGGAAAATTGAGTAATTAATTGGCTAAACTTATTCCAAAAAATCTGAGATTTTGTCAAATTATAGACCTTAATAAGGACTAACTTTGTGCAAAAGTTCAGCCCGATTGATCAAATAGTTTTTGAAAAAAAGCTATTCGTTTATAAATCGTTTTTCGCTAATATCTTCGAAGCTAGACAACCGATTTTAATTTTTTTTTTCAAAACATTCGTTTCGATACCTTCTATCTGAATCAATCAAAACATACATACCCGTAATGTTCATACAAAGTTTTCGAAATATTTCCGTTTTTCTGTTTTTTCATCAAGAGACAGTTATTTTCACTGACATTATTGATATCTAATCTGAGCGGGTTTGGTGTTTCCATTTTTTTCTTTCTTTAATAGAATTACTACAGATCCATTCGGAAGCTTACTACCAATAGAATCGGTAGAAATGAAAGAAAGAAAAAGCGTTATAACACATAAAGTAACGGTCAGATGGCTTCGGCCAAAAAGGCTCGAACCCCTGCTTGCTTTTTTATTCAATGCTGCTCAATAGGAAAAATAATTGATCATATGATTATACACGAGCAATATTATTGTAAGGTGCAATTATCAGTACAATTTTCATTTCGTTATTTAAGGAATATTCAATGGAAATTAAAATCGCCCAGAAATAGGCCTGTTGACCCTATGTAGTTTAGCCCTCTGAGGTGAATTTCAATATCCCCACTCTACGGCCGTCAAACCGGAATGCCAGCGTCCCCACTCGAGCGCCCTACTACGCTATACTACGCTTTTCACCTCAGAGGATTAAGATCAGTATTTTTCAAGTCCGAATTACAAAAACACTAGGGTTCTTGTCAGCTTTCACTAACTGCTCGACTAATATGTTTTGTTTTCAGACATCCCGAGGCTGCTGCCTCAGTTCCATTTATATCAGTGGAACGATCCATGACTCGATGGCGTCTGCAGTGTCGCCCACCGATTCCTGTCAACCTGGGTGACTATGAATACTTAGTGAATGACGAGGCCTGGATAAAATTTAGACAGTATCATAGTGGCATCTTGACAGTACGGACGCTTCAAGTGCCAACAGGTGGTACAGTCACGGTATTTGGAGATCAGGAGTTTCTCGCTTTCCTCCCGCAGATCAGGGAGTTCTATATTGATGCAACTTTCAAAATATGCCCTAGGAGCCCTAATGTGCAACAATTCCTCACGATAATGGGTGAAGTCGATGATAGTGTACGTCACAGTAATTTCCCAGATAAAACTGATTACATCACCCGATGTATTTCATGTTTTCCCACTGTTTTTTTACGCCATACCTATTTCATGGGCATGCATGACTGAAAAAAGTGAAGAAGCCTATGTACAAGTGTTCAGGTATTTTAAGACGCAATTAGCACCACAAATACAACCTACTACAATACACATGGACTTCGAAATCGGAGAGGAGAATGCCATTAGGAGAATCTACCCAGGTGTGACAGTGGTTCATTGTTTCTTCCACTATATCCAGGTAATCCACTACAACTCAGTCAACTTCATCTTTTTTGACCATTGGAAAATCATCTCCAGCTGTCACCACCATTGAATCATGCAAGAGGAAGATATAATCAGAATACAATTCACAGAAACTTCAAACAAGATCATGAAGCATCATGTGGATATCTCAGAAATTTCAATAGGAATTCATACGATTTTTGCGAAAACATTACATGTAATTTTCTCATTCTCGAGATAACGGAGAACTTTCCTCATATCTTTACTATGTCAAACTATTTCGTCTTCTATGTTTCAAAACGGAAACAGCATACATCTTTTCGTCAGGTATTTCCTTCAGTTATTAATGATTGTGTCAGGTCGAAAATAGAGCTCGAGAATGTTGACGTCTTCAGGCTCGTACAACGTGGGACGTAATTCACTGCATTTATATATCTCAATGTTCATTACGCGTTTATATTGATGGTGTCTTCATACCACTCATTCGCTAGTTCCCTTGCCTCCTTCTGCTTGTGAGAAGGACCATCTCTCCAATGCCACCCAAAAAACATCCTGCATCAAATCCCAAAAGTTTGAGATTGAGTTTCATCAACAGCGGCTTTACATTGCCAATACATTTATATATATTATTCTAGGCGCTGTTCAGAAACCTAAAATCTAAGTTGGGCCAAGCCCGAAGGAATTCAATTTACCATTGGGGACTAGCCCAAACATTTGTCCGAAAGCTGATGGCACTTGCCCTGCTGAGGGCAGAAGATATAAGGGCGAGTTATGCATGGCTAAAGCACAACACAGCACGAGATATCCTCCATTTTTTTGCTCCTTTCCTTGAATACTATGAAAATTGGTGGTTGGATAGGGTGAGATCTGAACGATTTTCTGTGTATGGCAAAAGGCATCGCACAAACAATTCGATCGAGGCTTATCACCGTGTTTTGCATAATCATTTGGGTGATCATGCTGGAATATGGAAATTAACAGGTTCGTGATGATTCAATAATAATTACATTGTTTGATATTGTTAATATTAAGTACAATGGATTAACCCGAGTACACCAAAGGAAAATCTTTCTCAATCATCTTGGAGAATCGGTTGGAATTAAGTCGACCCGAATCAGGCAGTGATTCAAATCTCACCCGGAGAGATACATCCCAGCAAATCGACTTGATTCAAGTCGATTATTCCACTGTTCTTTTGGCTCCAATTAATCCTTTTGTTAAACCTCAATTAAGACACTGTCTACTTGAATAAATTCGTTTTTTCGGCTTGAATCAAGTCGAGACTGACTTGAATCAATTTGATAGTTCGGTTTGACTCAATGCGTTTTTTGGTTTGATTCAAGTCTATGTCGAATGAAACGGTTGTTTCGGCTTAAATGAATCCATTTGTTCGGCTTCAATTAAGTCAGTGTTGACGTGAATTAATCCATTCGTTTAACTTAACTCAATTCGTTTATATCATTAGGCATGATAAACCGCGATTCTAACCTCGTTTCGCTCGGTTAAATCGCGGTTTTCGGGCCCAATAACATACAATATTATATGTCACAGGGCGATAAAAGTATTATCTGACTCATGATTATAATACGTTTATCGCCTGATGACATAATGTACTATTCTTAAGCTTGGATCAAGTAGATTACGACGTGAATCCATCCGTTTGTTTGCCTTCAATCAAGACAATGTCAATTTGAAATTTCTCTCATTGAAATAATCGAGTTTTCTACTTATTTCAAGTCCTGAATCCGGATTGAAGGAGTCTCAGTCACTCGACTTGAAATAAGTTAAAAATTGTCTAGAATCAAGTCAACGTTTACCTAAATCAGTCGTTTTCCTTTTTGAGTGTCTACAACCAACCAAATTTTCAAATCCGAATATTTATAAACTCATAAATTTGACTTGTACATCATACAATTGAAATTCAGAAGTGAATTGGTAAAGAGTAATGAGTCGACTAATCTCATAGGTATTTTTTTCAATGGAATATTTAGTACCTAAAGGAGACAATGAATATTCGCTGAGACGCTTTTTTTGTAGAGCTAAATGAGCGCTATCAGAAAAGTTCCCACAACAAATGTCGTTACCCCTCTTAAGGATATCCAAGTACTTTGGCTAGTTTTTCTACAGTGAAATGCTTTTCTACTTTTGTAGTCAAACATCAGAGGTTTCATTAGAACCCCATTTGACCCTGAGTTTCTGGACATTTTGTAATGATTTTATTATTTAAACTTTGCAGGTCTGCATTTGAAGCTCGATATTAAACCGTTTCAGAACATTTTAAAAATCTGAAAAGTAATTCAAAAGTTTACTTTTGAAGGAAGATTTATGAAATAATTTAAAAAGTACAATTTTTGATGATGAGAAGCATTTTCTATACATAATATATAAATAATCTTTTTTACACCACAAAAATCATTTCTTCGGAATCGTAAAAAGATTATTCATATTCCAAATTTTAACAGAAATCGATTTCTTGCCTACAAAAAAAAGGTTCCTGAAAGTTTGAACAATTTCAATTCTGTATTTATAAATAATGAATGTTTTAAAAAGCGTTGCAATTTAATTGACAAGTTTTATAATTGGAAATGTTTGAATCTACAGTGTGGTCTGTACCAAACTGCAAAAGATATTTATCAAATACTCAACCAGAAACCAACTCGACTTTATACCCTTTATCATATCTGTACAGAATGATACATTCATTCAGATGTGAGTACAAACCTCATGCTGACGGATTCGAATGGTATAACTTCTCGTGTGTCGTACAATTTATCAAATCAATTGTATACAAGTACAGAATATAACATTATTTTTTACTATGGTAACATAGTTATTTTTAATATGAGAAATTAAACGCAAGACCACACTTATGAAAAAATCCAATAGGATTTTACATACACTGAGAAAAAAAATTTCTAAGAAATAGAAATTCTATGATTGATCCAAATCGTTCATCGATTGAATAGTCGCAAAAGAAAATGCTATTGTAAGAAACAAATATCGATTTAATTTTAATGTTTTCGATTGAAAAAGAATGAGATCAGTTGTCTAAACTTTTTTTTTGTTGCTATCTACTTTTCAGTACATACACAGCAATGTCTGTATTATCAGATATCTTCTTCGAATAAAGCATATAATTATCCAATTTATCAGCGTCACGATATCCCGCAAAAGAATATCTGTTCGATTGAAAGCAGAATTCATAGATGCAATAAAATATTCATTTGGCCTATGAGGAACATATTGTTGGATACTCATTGATGCGAGACTTTCGCGAAGCGCAGTTTCTTGTTTACGACAAACGCAATTCTTCATCATTTGAACTGATTATTTTTCCATTGCAATTGTGAAAAAAAAAT